GTAAGTGTACTTACCCTCTGCCCGAGGTCCATAAAGATAAATAACACGAAGCAGCGACGGGAGTAGTCGTGGCCCTTATAAAACTAGGAAGAACCCCCCTCTAGGAAATTCCCATCATCCCCTAGCTGTCCGTGGCCTGCTTCTGTCTTCCCTTTAACGAGTAAATCCGTCTCTCGACGCTTCCGTTTCCTCCGCCTTCGCTTCGCGTCTTATTATCCTCGCCCCTCTCGATATTGAATTCTTCTCGTGAATTCTCGTGGAATTTCGAAGTGTCCTCGAATCGATGACTACGACCAGTCGTACACAATGGCTGCCTTTTTATTTCTATGCAGAAATTGGAAAGCGTGTGTGTGTTTTCTTATTTGGACGATGTTCATTTTTCTCAAAATTTACAAATCGTCGAATAGAGCGATACAATAAGAACGAACGACGCGGCGCGAGGGGTGAAAGTGGATTTGAAAGAGATCCGGGCCGTTATGCTTTGTTCGATTTTAAAAGGAGCATCGAGGATTCCCCCAGGTTCCCGATCAGACAGTCTTCCCACCCTTGTTAGCGTTACTTCTCCGTGGAGAATCGCGCGCATGCTTGTTCTGTCAGTGAAATAATGACAATGTCATAGCTCCGGACCGATTCGCCGCGGCTCCCCTGCCACGTGGGCGACGATTGGACGCGGATATGCTAATATGGCGTCCGTTCCGAGACATTAAGTTCTCGGTTTGCCGATTCTCGCCAGACGAGTCACGTCTTCGACATGAGAGCATCTATACCACGTCGATCATTCGACACATCTTCCTTCGGACAGATTAACCAAGATTCTGACTCACTATTCAACGCCTGAGCGTTTCAGATTTCTGGGCAAATTAGACTTTTTCACTGCGAATCTATTTCATTCTCAAATAAGAATTTTCTTTTGGAATCTGAATTGTGCGACGTGAAAGTTGAGAATTTAGAAATCGAACAAGGTGTATCGTTTTCTAAGTAAAAACGTGAGCATGGAATTGGAAGGGTAGGCGACTTTTGACCGGTTAGAAAGAGTCTGGGTCCTGGTGGTCCCGTTGGGTCACCCCGATTCTCGATTATCCACGGTGCTTCGTCGTGATTATGTAACTTGACTGCGAACACGCAGCTTACATCGGTCTCACGATGATCCCCGTTTCGATCTCAACCAGGCGTCGCTAAACGATTTTCACCAGGCCACTTTTCCAGGACATATGCTGCGATGCAGTTTTCACACGCGATGCCAATGGTAATTATCACCTAAGACCTCTCGTACCCTCGATACACCTTTCACAATCAAAATACCTTTCCAAACCAAAGAAAAATTTCGGTAATCTCAGTAATCTTCCTGTAATTCTCCAACATTACTCCACACTCTCCAAGCATTTCAGCACACATAGATAAGAGATATCTCTATGTACGCGGAGTAACCAAAGAATTTGCCGGACCGCGAGAATAAACACGAGGGAGTCCAGCATATCGCCGACATCGCTGAATCCTTCTGTCCTCTGGCTGGAGAGACGGTAAATCCGCGGCCGGAGTGGACAGCCGCCGAATTCGAAGCGGATACCGCCTCGCGATTCTGTGCATAGCTCGCGGGGCTCGACAAAGAGCTGTCTGGTGGGAAAAAAAACCGAAAAAAAAATCAGAGAAAAAAAGAGAGGCACAGAGAGCGGACCGGTGTCGTGCGGCGAAATAGAAAGGACCGGCCAGGCGGGCAATAATTCGAAACAAAATGTCAAGCGGCCACCATTGTCGGGTGCGGTGGTGCGGTAGGCGCCAACTAGCGCCGACGAGAAAATATCGCCGACAGTAAATCAAGGTGTAGAAGAGAACCCACCACCTTCTCCCATCCCCCCGATCCGCTCCTCCCTCGCTTCCTCGCTCTCTCTCTCTTCCTCCTTCGAGGCCTCTGTTTCATCCCTCTGTGGACCATCGCGCCTTCACCTGCTTCCGCTTCTCGTCACTGGGTATACCGCGAAAGTGGATCGCGGTATTTCGCGTCGATATTTAAGGCAGCGTGCCCTGAAAAACGCTTGTGAATATCTTTGAGAATAGGAAATTTTGAATATTACAAGCGAAGGTATCGAAGTATTTCTGAAGTTTCGAAAGTGAAGGGAATGCCAAAATAAGAGAATTAAGATTAAAAATAAGAGAAATTTCTGAGCTTCGAAATGGTGATTCTGTTGCGATTCGAAAGAAGAAAGTGTCGCGTTGATATTGGGTCAGAGGGTGAGAAGAGAAGATCGCGTCGGAAAAAAGATTTTCCACTCTGCTTAAATATGTCCGACCGCAAAAGCAATAAAATATCTTTATCTTACTCGTGCCATTACTCCCTTGATTCGGAGGGGTTCAATTTACATTCCTATCGGAGCTTCGGAAAGATAAGTCCATTTAAATAAATTAGTAATGCTATCTCTTTGGTCGGTGGTCGGGGCAGCGTTCGAGCGGCGCGAGGAGGGGAGGGGATTTAATAATATTTTATCAATTTTCGCGGCGATTCGTTACGCGGTGACGCCGTTCACCATTGTTCCGACGTACAATTGCTCGAGTTTTAAACTTTACGCCTCGATGAATCATCTTTTCGCGATGCGATTTCGCGGGCGTGAGAAGTTGCTGAAAAAGTTCTGGGCTTGCCTTAAAAAACATTTCACGGTTCGATGAACCTGTGTGTGTGAATCCAGGAAAATCCATAATTTGTACGTTTTTTTCAAATACAAGCA